TAAATTCATCAAAATTAAGTTCCCTTGCTGTCAGAGCCACTAAAATCATTTTTCCCCAATTATATGCCGACATTAATAAAGGAAACAAAATTTCGTATATGGAGAACGCGTCTTCCATCCGAAACCCCCGGACGCTCCATGCAGGATTCATGAGGGCCCAGTTAATATGTGCCTAAGAACCCATGCCTTCTGCTGCGAAGGGAAAGTAAGTGCCGCTACATTTTGAACCCAATTGCATTTCTACACATTTCACTACAAAATATAAAAATGGCAGATCTCCTCCAGCTCTTTCTCGTCCCTCGGTTCGTGTTACTGCCCCCTTCCTGCATTACGTAATGCACTGTAGAGCGTACATTTATGTTACGCTTCTTCTAAATTGCCGTCTGTAATGTTAATACTTCAGGTTAGGTAAAGTTATCCCTGTAACAGACCGCGGAGGTCCATAGGGTTGTGAGACGTCGAGGCTCCCATATTTTCTAGACAATCGGCTCACAGGTTGTCAGCCTGAAGTAATCTTTATGAAACTTGACATGCATACCACGGCACCTGAGCCCATCTCAACGACGCACTTCATAAATTCCTTCCAGCAGTCTCTGCGGCTCTTATCGTTGCTAGGCAACGGCTTGGTAAAAACGTTACGGCGGCAACAACTACACACGGAATAATAGGAGAATTGTTTGAAGCGTCGTTTTCTATGCGGTCTGTGTCGTATGAAGGGAAAATAGGTGATTAGTTCTTCGCAGAACTTCTTGTTTAATATGCTCGAAAACAGCGAGATTTGTAGAAACGTGTACCGGAAGTAACTCGTGTGCTGTGTTTCTGCAGTTTATGTTCGAAACACTTTTCTCTTCGACTCTCGAAACACAAGCAAAAACACGTTTGTATCTCCGCGCAATATGTTCGTTAAAATTGTACGATTCACATGAAAATTGTAGTGGATGGGACAGTTTTTCATAAGATTATCAATATCAAATTTCATGAAAATTCGTCCAGCCTTTGGCGAATTGTTCAATGCATGACGACGGACGAACATGCGTACTGACAGTGTTTAGCAGACGCTGCGCAGAATTACAGAACCGTCTGAAAGTGGTTTCATATCAAATGCAAATGAGATGAATAGTCACTGGCCACAATTAGTACATTGCGTCTGTGCTATATCCTGGTTACAGTGCCGACTAAGTCCACTGCTCACAATCTCTGCTGATAGAAGACCATTATTTGAGGACCAGACCCTATACTTAACCGTTTAAAGACTTAATTTCTTCTAAGTAATACATTCACATTCAGTCCTTGCCTCACAGGAAACACATTACGTTTCCGCTACAAAGCCCTGCCGGTTAATGCTGTTTAGGGAAACAGTCGCTGTTTGTTGTGAGAACCACCAAACGGAGTTTTAGTATGTTCAGTTCGTACCTCACAGGAAACATTACGTCTCCACTACAAAAGCCCAACCGGTTAATGCTGTTTAGGAAAATAATAGTTGTTTATTGTTGAGAGCTTGAGAAACAGAGTTTTGGTTCGTTAAAGCAGGTGGTACATGCAATGACCAGTGGACTTTAAAGGATTAAAATATCTTTATTGCAATTCGAACCCCGGACCCTAATTAAAATTCATGTGTTAATGTCTGACTACTACTTTAGGGCCCTACAGTTGCAGCCTTGGTCACTATGTTACCCCAGCGGTAGATGTACTCACCTCCACGGTGCAACTTGCTGGGTGCTCATGTTAGTGGAGATGTCCTCGTGTAACTTAGCGTGGCTATCCTTACAGAATCCAGCTACACCATCCACCGGCCACCACTCCGCTAAACTACGGTGTGCGAATTCTGTAAGAACGTCCCGACGGCAAGCGTCGCTCTTTGGCGCGCCAGTCAACCTCCTCCGCTCTTCATCTCTCCCCCCCCCCGTTCCTGTCTTCCCCGTGGCCGCTACCTACACATGTACCTCTGAGCCCGAAACGATAGACCTAATGAATGATCTGTCCTGAGTACAAAAGTAAGACAAAAACTGGAACTTGCACTAAATTCTATTTTTGACGTCAGCTCCCCCCCCCCCCCGAGACAGGAGCATTAGCCTCTCGTGCCATGCACACGAGTTTATTTTCCGGAACGATATATCGAACGCGTCTGTAGGGCCACACGGCAATGCAAACCCGGAAAACCTCTGCCACTGTTAATTCGGTTACGCAGTGGATGAGGTTTAATTCTAGTCTAAGGGTGAAAGTACTTTGCTGCCCCTTGTCGTGAAGGTGAAGCTCCACGTACTCCTAACTCGGGCACCATGCAGAAATACGAAAGTCAGCTTCACTCTCTGGCCATCTTTAACGCTAAATGAGGCTGAGTGGAGCCCCTAAAGTAATGGCGAAAATAAAAATTCAAAATTCTCTACCAGGAAACGAAACCCGGGCCGTCCACTACGTATTTCGTGACTTTACTCCCTTTCTCTCGCCATATTTCTTTATGACTTTGACTTTGAATTTGATTTGGGAGTCAGTTGAGCTGCGGGTTACTCTCCAGCAAAGAAGCTGAAGAATCTTCATTGTTAAGACCCGTTAACAGGAAACGGTTAGTGAAAGCAAACTGAGAAGACTTAGCGTGTGCTCTAGTGATTTGTAAATTGTGTGGAAAGCCTTTTCTTTGATAGTTAAGCACCTAACTAGAAGGTTGACTGACTAAGAAGCGAAATAGCTGTGTGCTTAAATGTTATTACAGGCGAAGTCAGCTTTCTGAAATGGCGACTGTACTACTGGAGTCTCGCCAGTAACACATGAGAACTCGTAACAACTTCTATTACGAAGGAGCAGAGGATTAGAGGAAAATAAGTTCCTCAATGTTCAGATGTTTGAAAAATTAGCTACTTTCGGGGAGAGTTCTGCTGTACATCCCCCCCACCCTATTATTCTTGAAGGACTAGCATTGTTGTCCGAATGTGTCTGGTAAAAGGAACACCAGAACCGAACTAAACATTTGGCAGTGTGCGCCAGACATACGGCCAAATGCTGATCAGGGATGTCCAATACAAATTATCTTGAAGCCCAGCTACACATGCACTCATGCCTTCAAATGAAATCTTGCCATGTTTTCGTTTTCTGCTTCCTTCTTTTCTTGCTCTAGTTTATCTGTTACGTTTCTCTCTCCTTCTACTACCCTCAAAATTATCTTTATATTCCATTTCCTTTCGTTTCCTTGTCTTATGATTTTTTTCTTCTGTGTTATTTCATGCCTTTTTTTTTTTCTTCTTTTCTCCTCATTGTCCACCTTGTTCTACTTCTCAGCCCGACTGAAGCCTTGGCCTCTTAACTAATTCGAAGTAGCGGATTCCGTCTGGAGAAAGTAATACTCAACATTTCCCTGCCTCTTACTGATTCGGAGGATTCATTGCCGCTTTCACTGATCTCGATCCGGAGCAAGATGAATCCAGTCCACACACTCACGCCCAATTTCTTCATGGCATAGTGCTTAATTGAGGAGCTTCATAACTTGTACTCTTCTCCAAGTATAATTAGAATGATCAAGTCAAGGAGGATGAGGTGGACAGGGCATGTAGCACGAATGGGGAGACGAGGAATGCATCAAGGATATTGGTGGGAACGGGTTCAAACCCGGCGGAGGTCGTGGAATTTTTAAGGGCGGAAAAATTCAGGTAACTAGTCCTCCGGGAGGGACTTTAAGCCGTGGGTCCCGTGTCGTAGATTTACGGCACGTAAAAGATCCTCATGTCTCTAGGAGACCTCTGAGCAAAATTAGGCAAAAAGTTTCCCGCCCAAGTAGTTTCCAATACCTCTGGTAGATTGAGGAAGTATCAGGTACCGAGGGCGGACCTCGTTGGCTGAACGGGGCTGATAGCACGCACCAGTACCGGTAAGGTATAGCGACTGGTAGAATATCAAAGAGGGACGTACAATAGATTATTAGTCGCGGGGAAACCCACCCCCTCTAATAATAATAAAATAAATAATATTGGTGGGAAAGTCATAAGAAAAGAGACCACTGGGAAGACCAAGGCGTAGGTGGGTGGACAATATTAAAATTAATCTTAGAGATATAGGATGGGATGGTATGGGTTGGATTGATCTGGCTCAGGATAAGGACCAGTGGAGGGCTCTTGTGAACACGGGAATGGACCTTCAGGTTCCATAAAATGCTGGGAAATTCTTGAGTAGCTGCAGAATTGGCGGCTCCTCCAGAAGGGCTCAGCTCCATGAGTAGGTAAGTAAGTAGTGCTTAATTAATTAGGCCCGGGAACAACTTTTTGTCACGGCAAACGTTTAGGGGTCATCCTTTCTTGCACAATTACGTAATTTCCTTTTCGTTCTGTTCCTTTTGTTACCGTCAGACACCCCGACAGTGGTCGCAGAGACCTCATGTCTCTATCTCCTTATAGCAGGCATGTTTCATTGCCGTTCTATACTGCTAGTTGGGAGGCATAACGTAACAAAACCTGAAGAAATGAGGCAGCCGCTTCTGGGGCCCAAGCGTAACTCAGGAAGTTCACCTGCGGGCTGTACGGTGTGTGGGCCCACACTTGATGGACTCATGCCCAAATCGCAATTTTCTGTCCTCGTCACTCCACGTCGTGCAGTTGTGCATGCCTCTACAGGAGTAAATGCCAATATACGTGCCCCTCACAAATATGCCAGAAATATCTGTCGGTCGCCAAGCCGCCCACGCTGTGCTCACACTGCGGGTGTCAAACCGCTCCGTCTGCATGCGTTAGAAACCGCCTCCACAAGCAAATCAACAAATTGCCCCATGTGCACACACCCCGACTGCAATATCGCCCGTGCAAAGTTGTCCCCGGGCTTCTGACACCATTGTCATATACTGGAGTGTGACTCTCGACAGGGTTTCGATCGGTGAATGGATTTATTAACCACTTATACACACCACTCGGAACTACAAGCAATTATAACGCTATCGCTAATCCCCGCACTTTACAAATCACTACAGCCCACGCCAGATCTTCCAAATTTGTTTTTATTAGCCGTTTCCTCGTAACGGATCTTAACAATGAAGTTTCTTCAGCCTCTGTGCTCATATCGTTACTGTCCGGTGAATATCCCGCTACTCAACTGACTCCCAAATGAAAGTCATATGGGGACAGAGACGAAGTAGAGCTACACTATTCTTCACCTCGTACTAAGTGGTGGTGAGTAGTCAGCTTTACGCCTCGGCAGCCTTGCCCCCGAGGAAAAAATCTTCAGTACTCAGTTGATAGCAGGCTGGCTGGACCCCAGAGCCGGTCTCTAAGCTGTGGAATAGAGAAAAAATCTCTTGCCCCTGCCGGAAAACGGACTCCGGTTGTCCATGCAGTAGTCCATTACTATACCGACTGAGCTATCCCGGTCCGTAGCCCGGTGCTATACCGATTAAGCTATACCGCCTTATAACTACTCGCTGTACAGGGCAGGTTTTCCTCAGTACCAGGTGTTCCGGCCGAAACCCTAACTAAGGACTTCCAGAATAAGCGTCAGAAGTGTTAGAAGCCATTTACTCGGCGACTGAAAGGGGAAATAGTGTCCGTTGTTGCAAAACTTATCTCGTCTCTCTCAGTTCGTGCAAAGTGCTTGTGGACAGTATTGTTTTGGGCTGGTCACACTCGCAACAATGCTTAATACAATACATTACACTCCTTACCCCGTATAATTGTCTGAAGTAGAGGTTGTTGAGTCTGAGAAAAGGGATGACGCCGAAGTTGCGCTGCTATTCCTGCCCAATGAACGAGGAGACGTGTATTGTCGCAGTTCACTGTCGTCCGATAACTCTCCCTCTTCATTTTCGGCCACCCAGTACCTCTCGAATATGGCGCTACCACTTGTGGCGAGAGAGGAGTCACATGACGTGCTGCCTACATCCTCGTCCTCCTCCGTGTCGCTGTCTTCAGCGCCCTCACTCTCGTCGGAAGTTTCCGCAACAGATGCTTTCATTTTTTCAAAATCTTGAGGAGAATAATTTAAAAGGGATTTACTTAAGACCAACTTTAACAAGCTGTTACTTTTGCTATTTGGGAAGGTTGTAAATTCAGGAGAAATAGGTCTCTTTAATATATCAGATGTGGCTGAAATTCTTGGCCTCTCCGTTACAGGTCTAACCTTACATTCTCCTGCATCTCTGCTACGTTGCTCCTTCGTATTTTCAGCCACGTTTCTGTTAGGGTTATCAGGGTCATTTTGAATATGTTCCTGCTTCAGATGTACATTTTGAGCCATCTGAGGATGTGTTGATCTTACTGATTTGTTTGTGTATTGAAATCTCTCTTGAAGTTGATATCCATACATGTGATTAGTTTGTTCTGGTGTATCTGAACTCATTTCATAACTTCCCCGCGGTGTTTGTAAATTATGCTTCCCTTTTGGAATCTTAGAGTTTAAATACTGTGTATTATCACAATAGTGACTTATGTCCGTAGTAAATGCCTGATTGAAGTCACTGGCTACCTGTCGTATTGCAGAGGACGCCTGATGTCTTGTCTGTGGTATCTTTCCGGGGGTTTCAAATCCATTCCTGGTGAGTCTGCTGTCGAGGGCCGTGGGTGTGTAAGCAGCCCTTACTGATGGCTGTTGCTGGAGGCCACTGTGGCTGACAGCGTCAAAATGATTGTTCTGTACACTTGTTGGTCTGTATCCTACTTTAAACTTGGGATAAGCGTTTGTAGCTGGCGACAGTGACTGCCTAAGCCATTCAGCTGGTCTCTTCAGAACAGGCTCTGGACCCCATATGCTTGCCGGAGTATGCTCTGCCTTTTGGACCAGCAGCTCCAAACTCTTCACGGGCTGGCGCACCAGGTCTACGGCCTCCATGTGGAGCAAGTCTCTGGCGCTGTGGCCCTGGATTCCCAGAACTATATCGCCGGGAACGAAGTACTGGGAAGCAAGCGTAGAGGGCAGCACCTGCAACAGTAAACTGGCCAGATTAGGTGACACGCAAGGTTTATTCATTCTTCCTTAGATGCTGTCTCAACAGTACAGGCTCAAAAATTAAAACCCACCACCTCCAAAATGGAAATCCACGGTATTACACGTGTGCTAAATGCCTCCCAGAGCAGTTTGCCTCAGAAGTGTTAGACGCTGGAACCGACAGAACTGGCCCATGTTGTACAATGCGGACGATAGTCCACAGATATAACATATTTATTTGAAATATAAATATTTTGGCTTCGTGTTGTACTGAAACCAGAGAGACATTACACTCATAGACTCTAAGCCTTTGAAATTAAAATATGTGCCTATGCGTGTAGCTTGCCAGAGGCTTCTTCTCGTAAAAATTACAATATTATGAAATTATAATTTTGCCTGTGGTTTTGTATGGGTGCGAAATTTGGTCTCTGACGTTATGGGAGGAACATAGACTGAGGGTGTTTGAGAACAGGGTGCTGAGGAGAATATTTGGATGGAAGGAAGGTGAAGTGACAGGAGGTTGGAGAAAACTGCATAATTAGAAGCTTCATAACTTGTACTCTTGGCCAAATATAATTAGAATGACCAAGTCAAGGAGGATAAGATGGGCAGGGCATGTAGCACGAATGTGAGAGAAGAGAAATTCCAGAAGGAAAGAGACCACTGGGAAGACCAAGCCGTAGGTGGGCGGATAATATCAAGATAAATGTCAGTGAGACGGGATAGGGTGGACTGATCTGGCTCAGGATAGGGACCAGTGGAGGGCTCTTGTGAACACGGTAATGAACCTTCGGATTCCACAAAATGCTGTGAAGTTCTTGAGTGGCCGCACAACTGGCAACTTCTAGGTCCATGAAGCTAGTTGGTTGGTTTACGTGAACCCCCGTGTTATTCCTGAAAAATCTTTGTATGCATTATAATGTTCTCTGTTGTTCATATCATTGAAATGACGATAAATATTTTGGGAAATTAATAAACAAAAAGTCTTGCTCTGGGCTCAGCACCTGCTAGGCCCACAGTCATGGCGCATAATAGACCTGTCAGTAAGCAAGATAACCTCAACAGATGATTCGTTTGTTTTCATACTTCAGCTCAGTTCATATCTGAAACTGTACCTTTCGGAATTGTCTTGTTCAGTTTGTATACAAATGCAAATTCACTGCAAATAAATATAGCAGTCACTCACGTGACTACGAGGTGGTCCAAACGATGTCACTTTCTTTGCCAAATTTATAAGATCAACCTTTCAAGTGAATAGAACAACAGGAGTGCAAGGATGTTCTGTGTTTCGTACACCGAGTTCCTAGCTGAATTATTTTGCGAATTTGCTTTCCCCGTTAGTACATCTGCTGTCAACAGAATTAACAAACAGTAGGGAACTACACTACTCGTACATAGACTCGAAGAGGAAGTTTATAAACAATAGAGATTTTTCATAATTTAGCCAATGGAGGCGAGTTCATAGTGAGAAGTTGATCTCGTTCATAGTCCAAGGAATTTTCTTCCATTAAGAAATACAATTGGACTAAAATTTGAGAAAGAAACTAGTGAAATGCTACATTTGGAGCATGGCTCTGAATTGGGCTGAAACATGGACGCTTAGGGCAGTAGATCAGAAACATCTGGAAAGTTTCGAAATGTGGTGTTGGAGAAGGATGGAGAAGATCAGTTGGACCGATTATGTGAGAAATGAAGAAGTGTTAATTAGAGTCAGTGAGCAGAGGAATATCCTACACGAAATAAGAAAACGGAAGGCTAATTGGATTGGTCATATCTTACTCGGTAACTGCCTTCTAAAAAAAGTTATTGAAGGAAAGATAGAGGGGCGGATAGAAGTGACCAGAAGACGAGGAAGAATACGTAAGAAGATGCTGGATGACCTTGGGGACAGAAGAGGATACTGTCATTTGAAGGAGAAAGCTCTAGATCGCATTAAATGGAGGAACTGTTTTGGAAGGGACTGTGGACCTGTCGTCTGACAGATTACTGATGACTGAAGAAATGCAAAACTTTCTTTAGCATATTCACGAGAGCTGGTCACTAAACCACATCCTCAGTCGGTTGAACGATATCCAAAGCCCCATACTCCGTGCCTATCAAACATCTCAGAAGAAGAGAGAATACAGAATTAGATTTTTCAATTTGCCTAATCCTACTTATGGCCCTGGGGTCGACTCAGCCTCTAACAGAAACGAGTACCAGGAATCTTCCGGCGGGTAAAGGGTAACCGGCGCGTAAGGCTGACATCTTCACCACCATCTATGAGCCGATTGTCTAGAAAATGTGTGAGCCTCGACGTCTCACAACCCTATGGGCCTCCACGGCCTGTTACATGGATAACTTTACCTTTTTACCTTTTACGAGTATTTAATACCTAGAAGGAAATAGGAAAGGAAGACACATGCAAGCTGTCTTGTAGACCGTTGGGAGTCAAACGATTTTTCGAAGCAATATGTCGCCTCCATCTTCAGTTTTGAAGAATAAAACCAGCGTGAAAGCATGTAAGTAGCAAACAGAGTGAAATATTACTTCTTTCAATTGTGAGAAATTATATTTATATCGACAATTTGCTGAGGTAATTAAACCTGACAAATATAACTCTTAAAACGGTTAATGTAATCTGTTCATCTTAAACAATTGCCCTCATTACGTAAGTAATTTATTTGGTTCAACGCCAATTCAAATCAGGACAGTCGGAAGGAGTTACAAGATTATTTATAGACCCCCCCACCCAACATTAACATACAGTACAGAGTATAATGTGTGTGCTTTTTCAATCTCTGAATTTATTAAAATATTATAAGTTATTCTTGAACTTGTATGCATGTTTGAAATTATATATTTTAAGGAGTTATACTCCTGATTTCTCTTTTTCTACATTGCTGACCGAACGTTCGAAGTTGATCGTTTGTTGGAACTTTGCCACTGTCTCCAAGTAGTTGCTTGAATTCCGGTAGATGGCACACTGAAACAGTGGAACTATTCAGTACAGTAGAAAGTCGATATATTCGCTCACAGCCTTCTCATTTGTGTGCTTGTGTTTAATAGATCTGATCACCGTAAAGCAGATATCTGTACCAGTACGTCAGAAAAAAAAAAAAATTTGTAAAATATGTCCTTGAGGGTGCTGAAGGTCAAGGCTGGATAACAAGTTTGGGGAGGGGGTTCAAGATAATCAAGATGTGGAGGGTACTTTCGGTAAAAATGTAGGTCATGAAATTTTTTGTTTCGTATTTTCTATAATAGCTACTAACACAATCACGTTTCGTGACTTTTACAGAAGTGTCTCAATGTAATATGTGGATTCTATTTGAGTTTTGTGGAGGCCCTTAAATCCGGCCTTCCGAAGGTACAGTGGATTGCTCGGTGTTTCGAGATTGGTCAGTAGAAATAAAAAAAAAATCCATGAATGGGGAACGATAAATGACTTAAAACATTTTGACTTGAAAGCTTCCAGAAGGTGTAATTTTATAGGCAGGCCTAGGTTAATTGATTTTGGGGTTGTGTAATATAATGAAATCATAGGAAGAAATAGAGGTCTATTTTAATGTGTTATCCAGGCACTTTGTCGCAAAAGAACTGAGGAAAATAACGAAAGTGCTGACAGTACAGGCGGGACCTGCCTGCAGGGTTCGGTATTTATTATTATTATTATTATTATTATTATTATTATTATTATTATTATTATTATTGGAGGGGGTCGGTTTCCCCATGCACCGCGACTAATAGTCTGTTGTACGTCCCCCTTTTGATATTCTACCAGTCGCCATACCCTGCCGGTACTGGTGCTCGCTATTAGCCCCGCTCAGCCAGCAAAGCTGGCAGTGGTTCCCGATACTTCCCCATCTACCGGAGGCATTGGAAACTACTTGGGCGGGAAACTTTTGCCTAATTTTGCTCAGAGGTCTCCTAGAGACATGAGGAGGGTTCGGTAACTATAACAGTAACACAGCCAACGTCGCGGTGTTCATATTAATCTGCTGGTAACACTGATAATTTAACCTGGTTCAAAATAAACTTTTAGGACTCACACTACGACCATGTTTGGAAAAAATCTGTTCATACATTCAGCTGATTTTTCACGTAAATATACATATGAACATAGTAACCATAAGGTAAAGCTATCCCTGTGACAAACAGGCAGTGGAGGCCCATAGGGTTGTGAGACGCCGAAGCTCCCAAATTTTCTAGAAAATCGGCTCACAGATGGCGGTGAGGTCAGCCTTCTGCGTCGGCCGCCCTATACCCTCAGAGAAATTCATAGCATTATTAGAGTCTGAGTCTACCCCAGACCCATAATCTAATGACCTCATCGGGAATTGAACCCGCGACCTTCCGTCGTGTAGCATAGTGCCTCAACCCACTACTCCACCGCTTACCCTCGTAGTAATATAAGAGATTCAGAAAGGCCTGCCTGTTGTGATTATTATTATTATTATTATTATTATTATTATTGATGGATTGGATTGATCTGGCTCAGGAGAGGGACCAGTGGAGGGCTCTTGTGAACACGGTAATGAACCTTCGAGTTCCATAAAATGCTGGGAAATTCTTGAGTAGCTGCAGATTTTGCTTCTCAAGAATGGCTCAGTTCCATAAGCAAGTAAGTTGTTGTTGTTGTTGTTGTTGTTGTTGTTGTTGTTGGATTGATGGAATATTAGTAAAAGCAGGAAACGAAGTGAACTGTGTGAGACTGGGTCCTCCACTATCCACCTTCGCATTTGCTATTTGTATTCCGCAGAGTCAGTGTCGCAATCTGTGGGCAGAGGCCAAGATGTAGTAGTTCCACGTTACGCCAACAGAGAGCTGAAGGCGCCAGTTGAACTTGAGCAGTCTCTCGGTCCCTACAGCACTTCACGAATTTGGGGACCATCTTTCTTCTCCGCTTTTCTTTGTTCTTTCTTTCTGCCTTCCTTCTTTCCCTTCTTTGTTTATTTCCGTATTGGGAGCAGGGATATCTCAGTCGGCATAGCGACGGGCTACGGGCTGGCCAG